CAGTGCGCACCTCATCTAAAGAGAAATGAAATCTCTGAATTACTTCATGTTTGTTAATATTTCACTAGATATGGACAGGCCTCTGTTCAACCAGAGGTGGGTTTTCTTACCAATCACAGTGGGCTCCAGGTCCACAAAAACAGCTCTGGGGACGTGCTTCCCTGCTCCAGTCTCACTGAAGAACGTATTGAAGGAATCATCTCCTCCTCCGATGGTCTTGTCACTGGGCATCTGTCCATCCGGCTGGATGCCATGTTCCAGGCAGTATAGCTCCCAGCAGGCATTGCCAATCTGGACACCAGCCTGACCGACGTGGATGGAGATACACTCACGCTGTGGGAAGAAGAACACAGAAAGAGGAAGTTTAGCTGCTTGTATTCATCACTGATGATGGCGAACTGGAAAAATGTCATTAAATAAGAGGTAAATGTGGAAAATTGTCTGTTGAACAAGGACAATGTACAGCAGGGGTGTCAAACTCACTTACAAAAGGGGCCAGAATTAAAATCTTATTCAAACTAAGGGCCAGTTTCAGAAACTACATTAACTTAACTTAGATACCCAACATCTTTTCTTTGTTGCAGGTCCTCAAAAAAGTTTGACTGGTCTCTTTTGACGTTCTCTGTTGTCACTTTTGGCATCATAATCAAAGATTACTGAAAAAAATTCTAGTGAAAAAAGTATTTTACATTTCACATCATCTTGGGGGCCAGATGTGATCGGGGGGCCACATTTGGCCCCCGGGCCTTGGATTTGACATATGTGACAGAGGATAAAGTATATTTTTTTATTTAAAAAGCACTCTGTTTGCATAAACATTTTACTAAGGAACACCCTGGTTTGTGGGAGCCATGGCTCAGGTTATCCTGACTCTTCGGTGCACTGCAGTTGTGTCTGGATTTGCGTTGCTAGGCAACAAGCCCTTCATCAGGCAACGCCACTGTTTGAACTCAGCTCCGTGAAATGTTGCAGTTTCTCACTCTGTTAAATAATAATAATAACAATAATAACAATAAAATCTTTTCGTTCTAAGAAGCGACAGGCTGTCAGAGCCGCTGCTGTGAGGGAACAACAGGTCGAGTGTCCATTACTGCATGAATTGTTAATGAGCCGCCATCATGATGCTGACGGTGCACCTCATCCATCTTCCCTGAGGGTGGACTTCTTTCTGGGTGTGGGTCGGTTTCATTTGATACAAGCTGGAGTTGCAGCTGTCGTGAGTGGTGATGACCGGAAAATATAACCCCACGCTGTGACTCACTCCGACTGTCCACCCGTGAAAATCTCTTTTGTTCACGCACCAGACAGAGAACTCCCCTCGAGCGCATCTACTTTAAATTAGATGCATCCATTTTACTTAATAACGTCCAGTAACTAACATTTCTTCTTGTTTAAATTAAAGGTATTCATTTGTTCTTTTGAAACCAAATCCCTAACAGTGTAAGTAATAAGGTATAGTATGTAAAGTTATTAAAACGTTCTTACCATTTTGTTTAGCTGAGGTTGTTCAAGAGGATGAGAGCGTGTCCTCGACAAGGACTCTTACGATTCGACTGTTAAGTGGTCGATGTAAGAGAGAATGGCGCACATGAGGATGGCGGCGGTATTTATACTCATGGAGGCGTGGCTTCAGCTACTTCTGTCTCGCTATTGGTCAGTTAGCTGTCAGCTGTCAGTGTTCGTTCAGTTTCTGGGTTTCTATTGGACCAACGCCGGAGATTGCGCCGAAGACCCGCCTGCTGACCCCACCCGGCATCCTCCCGTCATTGTGCTGCAAGTATGGCGTTTCTGGTGCTGAGGAAAATGCTGCGTAATTCTGTGCATGCTGGCAGAAACAGGCCCAGCCTTTCTTACTGGTTTTTGTAAGGTTTTTACTTTTAAAATTTTAAACGCAATGAAAATTTATTTTTTTAATCATAAAATGAACTTGAGCAGAACAGGGAAGAATATTGTTTTGACTAAATGTCAAATTTTAAATAGCCTAAAAAAATCACTAAATGGATGCCCAGTCACCAACTGGCAATAAAAACTGTAAAAAGAAAGAGAAACATAAAGAAAAAGTCATGATACTTAAAGAGTGGTCAGCATTTTGGTGGATTTACAAACATTTGTTTTGAACCAGAGGGCAGATTTTATGGAAACTCTCAGAAAATCTGGATGCTCCTCTTCAACACTTTAACTTTTGGAGTCAACCTAATTCAAGATGGCTGTTACAACAGATCTCACTCAACTAAAAATGCTGTCCATTTTACAGATAGTAAGCTTGAACGTGGTCTGGTAGAAGCTGAACGTCACACCTTGTTCACGTTTGGGTTCAAGCTGATTCCAGATGCAACAGCTAAATGATATCACAGAAGAGGCTAAAGCTCCGTCAGTTTTACAGATTTTGAGCTACAGATACCTGGCTGAGGTTCATTCACAGGACCCAACACTGATCTTTACATTACTTACTTTAATGTATGTCTCATGCACTAACTGTTAAACTGAGCATCTTGTTTGCATGTCATTCAAAAGTCACTGTATTCACATGCTGGCCGGGGCGTTGACCTGATTCTATTTTTCAGTCGTCTTTAGATAAAAGAGGTCAAAGTGCCTTGTCACGCCTGGCGGGATGCTGCACAGCACTGCAGATGCCCAGCCCCCATCCTTGCTCCTGAGTTAACGGTTGCAAATGAATAAAGGAGGTGCCTGGATACAGCCCAGTCTCCACACAGAGAGCTTTTATCTGGTGGGCACGTGACCCAGCTTAAGTGGCAGCATTAGTCTGCGCTGTAGCTTCTGTCATCCTCCAACATGCTCGTCTGTGGAGGAACCACCCTGACTGGAGCCTCACGTACAAGACAGACGACAAAGGCAACACCTCTACTGTGGTTTTTTTTTTCTTGACGGATTTCTGTCTGTTGTCTTTTTGTTTCTGAACTATCACCTTTCAGTGACAAACTGTTCTCGGCCAACAGACGGCGAAGCCTCGTGGTTGCCAGCAACACAGAAATCTCCACGGCAACGCTGTCTCAGTCATGTGAGCCCTCACTTGAATGTAGGCCTGCCTAAATGTTGAGACTGTGGTTACTTTAGCCGTTCCTTTGCCACTGTTTGTCACATCTAAGCAAACAGGTGTTTCACACATTTTAAAGCTGTCCAGCAAGCACACTTCTGTATCCTATTCAGCGTGCAAGTTTTCATCTGCAGCTGTTTGAAGTTATTCATGTCTCACTTTAAGGCTTGGTCTCGCTCCTGTCAGTTCACCAGCAGAAGACCGTGCCTTTTACTGGGATAGACCAACGCAAAGTAGTGTCTAATTATGAAATGAAAAGCAAATGATACATGTTTTATAAACTTTTGACAAATAAAATCTGTAAAGTGTGTATGAATATGTATACCCCTTCCTTTCTAAAGTCACCTAATTATATGCATAGAGTCCACCTGAGTATATTATGTAATTTCTGTGAGCCTCAGGGGTTCCTTACACAACATTAGTGATCAGCAGCAGCAGCATGAAGACCAAGGGTCACACCAGTCAGACCAGGGATAAAGTAGTTGATTAAAGCAGGGTTAGGTCAGAACTTCTCACAGAGCGTTGTCCAATCCATCATCTGAGAATGGGAAGAGTACGACACAACTACATGTGGACATGGCAGTCCACCTAAACTCACAGACAGAGCAAGGAGAGCATTCGTCTGAGAAGCAGTCGAGATGGTAGCTCTGGAGGAGCTGCAGAGCTCAGGCAGGACAAACTGTCCACGGGACAAGTAAAGTCACAAACCTGTCCTGTATGGAAGAAGAAAGTCAAGGTGGAAAATAGGCCAGAACAAGTCCAGTTTGTAACAAGTCATCTAGGAACACAGCAAATATGTGGTAAGACATGAAAAATGTTTGCAGACAATGAGCTGTTTAAAAAAAAGACTGAGTGAAGTTCAGTCTGGACGTCCAAAGAGACAAACTCCAGAAGACTGGCAGCTGGATTTGTAGTAAAGAGGGGTTTGAACACAACTGTGCACCATATTTATCAGATTTATATTTGCAAGATATTTTGAAAGTCCATCCATCCACCCATCCATCCATCCATCCACCCATCCATCCATCCATCCACCCATCCATCCATCCATCCACCCATCCATCCA